CAGCCTCGCCAGAAACGAGGCTGAGATGACATCTCTGAGCCCTCAGATGGCAATGACCATTGATTGCGACAAGCTCCTATCTGTTCCATCTGGGTGGGGACCCTGGGACCCTGGGAATGGACCTGGAAACACAAGCACCGTTTTTTCGCGGAAACACAAGCCGTCACAAGCCTCAAGCTTGAAAGTTTGGAGGCCAAAGGTTTGTAAAACCAGCAACTGATACATAGATACATACATACATGCATGCATACATACATATATATATATATATATGAAATTCCAAAATGTGGGGGTTGTGAAGTTTGCGTGGCTTTCCCACACCAGATTTGCTTGGATTTTGGCCCTTTTTCAAAGTGGTTCAGATTTGAGAGAACGCCTCAGAGCGATAGGTGTTTGACTCCATTGCCTCCTACAGTCAACTTCCAGTATGCGGCAAAGGCAGACTACCAGGAGGCGCATTTTCTGGTGCCCGGCGAGATGTGCGTATTGGCGGAACCATTTCTTAGGGGAGCCTTCAGTGACTTATGACTTCGCAGGTGGAATCCCTTATGACTTCAAAATGTGGGAGGGATACCCTCCAGTAATCAGCTCCATGGCTAATCTCCCATTTCTGATTGATGTTCCCAGACACCTCCATGGTGAGTTCCGGGATTTTTCAGCCACGTTTGATTAGTTTGGAAAGTCTTGCTACCTGAAAGAACCAATAGTAAAAGTTTTCGCACATTGAACAGCCCATAGGTGGAGGACTTTCCTCCTGAACATCGTGAATCTCGTAACCCAGCCATGTTTGTTTAGTTTAGATTCAGACTCACCATGAAAAGTTAGTCAAGGCAAAGAAGGCTAGCCTCTGATGGGCCCCTATATGGCACTTCAAGAATTGTTATTGATGCAAAATTACTGATATTTTTTTGTGGGGTTGAAACCACCAACCAGTTTTATTGATATATTGGTTCTACACGAAAATCTATCCTATTTTTTGTTGGGTAACCCTAGTCACCTTCCCTCTTTTTGATGGTTATCCAGCCAGAAAAATAGCGATCTTCCTGCCATAGCGCACAGGACGACAGTCAAGAAACTCCCAAGCAAGATCCTGGTACCTGGGCAGCGGTACTGTGATTGCACAGCCTGAAGTTGACTGAATACATGATGTAATATACGTAACACATGAATGTGTGCTGTATAATTTTTAATGTTATATAAATATATATATATGTATATAATGTATAATATATAATATATATATATATATATATAATTTAATATGACATATATAATATATATTTTTGATATGCAATATATAATGACATAGTATATCCTATATAAAATATAGTATATGATATATAATATATAGAATATGATATTTAAATGTACTATAAAATATATAATATATACTATTTGAAATGATATGTACATGCATATACATATATACATTACATATATACATTACATATTTTTGTATATATAATATATAATATAATATAATGTAATATGATATGATATAATATAAAATAATATAAGATATTTATATTTGATACACAATATATCATATAATATATAATATTTAATATATAATATTTACTATATATTATAGTATATATAATATTTGATAAATGACAAATAATATTTAATGTACGATATATGATATACACGATTTAATATAAAATATAAAATATATGCAATATAGAACATTTAATATCATAATATATATATGTATAACACATCTAATATAATACAATACAATTTAAAATATACTAAACTATTAATATTAATATAATATAATATAATAAAACATAATATAATATACTACAATATAATATACTATAATATAATATACTATAATCTAATATAATATAATATAATATGATATAAAATGTATATATATATGACTATATACATATGTATATATATATATATATATCTGAGTATATACATATGTATATGTATATATATATGGATAGATGTGTATATATGTGTATATGTATGTATACATATGCATAGAGACACTGGATCCCAGGACAACTTGCCCATCTGGTTACAGCCACGGAGCCTTGATTTGTTGATGTGGCTGGGGGAGGAACGTCACCATTGGGGCAGTTGAGGGATGTTACCATGGGAATCTTAAACCGGGACTCTTCTGGAATGGGGATGAACCATTGTTGGAATTATTCTATGGCAACCACGGGATTTTACCAGAAGTTGGGATACTGGTTTATGGGTATGGGGAAGTATATTCAGTTGCGCTTCACTGGAACTGCACCCCCAAGAAGTTGGAAGCATTTTGTGGCATTTTCGCGGTTTTCATGCTTCGGTGGGGTGGCGTGGGGTGCCCTGGGAGAGGGGTCAATAACGTTCAAGTACCGGTTGCACATCCAGTCAATGCGTTCAGCAGGCACGCGCACAGGCGATATTCGATAGATCATGTAAGCTTACAGGGATCACGGTACGTCAGTAGAATAGTTGTGAAGTTCATGCGCACGGATCAGGTTACATCATCAGAAGGATTGTTATTTTGTGTGCAACCCACTCTTGATGCTACACTCTCAACCTTCTGAAGCAACTTTCAACATGCTCTTGATGCTACGCTCTCAACCTGCTTAAGGCATTTGCAACACGCTCTTGATGCTACGACCTGAACCTTCTTCAGCATACATTTATGCCCAACAGTTTTCCACGATGCTTGTATCATGTAATCAAAACACAAGAGCATCCAGAACTTCAGAAGCTCCTTTACTGCTACTGTTGGCGACAATCCTTAGGTCCACTGACGCCTGAGGAACTATTTGAATGAAATCTGCAAAGCAGTGAAGGCATGCAAATGCTTCTGAAACAAAGGGAAAAAGTGCTTCAGCAACCCCAAGTTGAAGAAATTAAATGCAAAAACAAGCAGTTTTCCAATTTTACAAAAGGCTGCTTTTTTCAGACAACACGTTGCAAAGAGACGTTTCGGTGTGGCGAAAATGCCATTTATGTTGTCCTGATGCTCACGAAACCACACGGCTAATTATGGGTCGGGAGCCAAGTGGTTAATATAGGGGTCCCCCAAGAGATGTAAAGTTTTTTCAAGACTGGAATAAATAATAAATGTTTTTTGCCCCACAATTGCCAGGGTTCCAACTGTTTTGTTCTAGGGAATCTGGGGCTGCTATATGTGATTATATGTATACTGATGCTGAGATGGAGACAAACATGTAATAAGTATCCAAGATTGATACTGTAAAAGATCGGCTCAAAGGTGGATGGATCTCAACAGAAGTCTATCTAAGGTTGACCAAATCTGTGCCCGATTGATCCCCAGATGTCCCTTTCTCACTGCTTCTGTGAATAGACGGGCTGGAGAAGTCCTCCTTCTTTCGCAACCAATCCCAGACTTGGTTCGAGGGAACAAATTTGGATGCAGACACCCACTTCCCTGTAGCTTTTCTGAACGAAATCAATCTTTTGAAGCAACGGATCAAATCGGTTTGTCTGAAGACCCTCCAAAGCCATATATCTATAACATCATTTTCCGTGTAAATATAGATACAACCCATTTTCCCCAAACCCACAATGTATATATGTACATACACATACACATAGCTATATATACACATAATGGACACATATGTACATACATATACATGGAGATATATTATGTCTTGAAATTCAGATCTCCTACTTTTTGAGGGTTCCTCTCTGGTAATTTGACATAGCCATGGAACAATTCGCCATTTGGTGACCGGGTGACCCCTTCAGATATCCCCCACTTGGAGGATCAGGGCTTAGCAACTAGTTAGGATTTAGGAACCTTAGTTATAGCATGTTATAGCTATGACCCATTTATATATATATATAGGAGAACCCACTTCGGGGACTTACTCCAAGTATAAATTGATGGATGACTACAAGAAACATCGGATTGACCGCCTCTTACGCGTCTTCGGATCTCAAGGACCTTCATGAGAAGTTGACGCACCTGGCAGAGAAGCAGAATATCTTTGAGGAACTGGGGCATGTTTTTTCTTTTTTTCTTCAAATTGTTATTTTTTATTTTACCTCACTTCAAAGACTTAGCCCCGTCAAAATCGTGATTTTCAGATATTAATCATTTCGTAAATAAAACATTAGTGAGCTCCTACAAACATAGTGATGGAACTTGCGCTCCTGTCTTTCGTTGGGGTCTAGTTACAGCGGGATTGTGAAAAAACCCTTTTTACAAGCCCTATAAACCAGCTAGTCGAATGGGATTTTACCAATGAAAAGGACATTGGTCAAGTGAGATAATGAACAGTAGTCAAAATTTAAGGCCCAGCAGATGTTGATCATTTCAATAGTTAGCATCCAGTTTTCGAGGTAATCCATAGCCATAAGATGTGACTGACCCAGTGTACAATGGCTATTGGGCTACCACCAACAAGACCAAACAGCGAAACGTGTCATCCATTGCTGGTTGAGAACGAGGTCCCATCAGGGGCCATGACAACCACCAATAACCATCAATAAACAACCGACCACAGTAAAGGGTAATAAACCATTAATGATATCAATGGTTATTGATAATCCCACAAGGGTGTATTGACCATAAATGATACCTTATATTAATAGAAGCCATTCACAGCAACAATTGGCAACGCGTTTTTTTTGGTCACTGCTCAAGTGGGTCTCCAGGAAAGTGATGGCTTTCCCCCAGCCTAATGGATTTGGTGATATCTTCAGGGTTGATGTTTTATGGGTTTCTCTTAAAATAGTGTACATCCGACAAATGACAATTTTGATGGGGAAGGTTCACATTAATCATCAAATCTGGGTATCCTATTTTAAGACCAACTCATATACATCTTCACGACAATGCGTTGTTGTCATATCACACTACGATACTACGCTTCAGACTCTGGTTTAGTATTTCTGGTTAGTTTAAGAAAGATCCATGTGTTCTATATACATATATGGTCGAAAGTTGGATAGCCTCAAGGCTCAAGCTGCCACGTAGCGAGGTAGGAGGGTGGCGCCCTACCGATTGAGCCATGGAGTTCTCACATGGACCTGTGACCCTGGTCGTGAAGTACATCTGTCCATCTCCGACCGTGTGCCCTTGCCACTACCGGGTTTCTTCTATCTTGACGGATTTGACTGTGGTCTCGATGAGTGTCTTACTTGTTGTCTTGGCTTGCCGTGTTGACTCTGGCCATTCCCTGGTGAGAGATGGAGTTCGGTCGCTTAGCTTGACGCATGGAAATTGCCCACATGATATCGTCGAGAGATACTTGTTGAAGATCTCCCTTGGTCAGTGGACTCGTGCAGTTGATCTGACTGGCGTTCAGGTGGTTGCTTTGGGATCTTTAGAGGTTCTGTTGTCTGACCCTGTGGATGCTTCCCATCTCTTGGTGAGATCTCAGTTCCGTAGCTTGGGACTGACGTCAGGTCGCTGTCCACATTGACATGACCTCGCAGATAGTTACCTCTTGAAGATGTCACCTGAACTATGGAGTGGATTGACACCCGTTGTTTGCTTGCAGACATTTGTCCTTGACAAGTGTTTTGATGTTTCGACATATGGTGGAGGTGTTTTACCAACACCTGAATGCTGGAACCCAAACCCCTATGGCATGGTGTGTGTCGTTGAATTGCTTTGCGGCGGATGCCCTGGATGGGCTCATGTCACTCGCTTTCTGCAATGCCCTGAATTGCCAGTGACTTCAGCTTTTGCCTTGGGCTTGAGTCATGAGTGTGTTCTTGCCTACTAGCGCACTGAGTGCGTCACTTGTAGGTTCTGGCTTGTCAGTTTGACTTGAATGATGATGATTGCTTGCCACCCGAGCTTGTCATTGAGTCAGAAGTCGTGACCGCAGTGTGCATAAGTTAGGTGCCTGCACTTTGTTCTTGTTTTTCCTTGTCTTGATTTGCTTGCAGTTGTTGCTTGCTTGGTATTAGTTATCCAGTTGACAGTAGTTCTCGTTGTGCGGTCTTCCAAGATATGTAGTTTTCGAAGCAGCTCTGACGACATGGCTGTTTCTGTATGCTATTGTCTTTTCGCTCCGCAAGGGGCAACTGCGCGATGTGGTTTGTCCACTGCTATCCTTAGTGTGACATTTTCCTGGCATACGGCCAGTACATTGTACTTAGCTGAGTGCTTGCCATTTTCGGTTCACCCCCATCCTTGCACCTCGTACCCCCCTTAACCGGGAAGGGGCGTTGGTGCTGCGACTTCGCTCCCTCAGGATTCAGGATTCTGTAAAAAGTTGGATTGTACATCCATATTGGGGGATGGCAATTCATCCGTCAATAGGATCTTGCATATTCATATTATTAGTGGATTACCCATATGGGGTGGATGACTGTAAACCATATACCATGTTTGGACCCTAGCATATATGATTGGATATTGAAAATTGGATGATGATGGGCCAGGGTTTCCTGTAAATCCATTGAGTATATATATATACCCTCTGGTAATCAGACATAGCAATAGAAAATCAACTTAGTACGATGAATTTCCCAGCCAGAAACATCGGTTTCGTTCGGTGATTTTCCAGCTAGCCATGTTTGATGACACCAATGGATATTCTATAAACAATACCATTCAGTATCCTAACATTAAAAATCTAATCCATTATTATCGATGATTCAGATTAAGCAGTAATCAATATATTAACCATTGATTACTATCCGTTATGGGTGAGTGATTATTAGCCCCTTGAATAAGCCATCATTAACCATAAGTGACCCAGAATATTTCCCCATTCATAGATGTTTTCATTTTTCCTATAAAAGTAACCATGTTTGATGACACGAGGGTATCCCAATATTATCCCATATAATTTCAATCATTCGGTTAAATTTGTCATATTATGTGCCCTTTGGATCCATGGCATAACCCATTCACAACCCATTATTAACCATAATTTACCAAGTATTAATCATTATCCGAAAACCGCTTATTGAGTATTATTATCATGGTTCACATGTATATTATTAACTCATTTTTACCAGTACCCTCTGGTATTCCAACGTTGGAATGGAAAATCTTCCATTTATGGATCATTTTCCCAATAAAACTTCCGTTTAAAGGGGATTTTCCAGCTAGCCATGTTCGATTGCCGGAGGGTATGATGAAATTCAGCCAGACCTAATTTGGTTAATATAGGCAGGATAACCATACGGAATCCATGGTGCTGTTTGATACTTGCCGACACCAATGCTGGTTACCATGGCCTTACTAGTTGCCTGTCCTTTCCAAAGAGTCATGTGCGGTGATTTGGAGGTTTCCTGGGGGTACATCCAAATCATCCAAATCCATTTATGGTACATCCAAACCATCCAAACAATCAATTTATAATGGATTTTCCATTGCAAACTGTAAACCATCCAACTATTTTTGGTACCTCCATTTGCTCGGCAGGCGGGTCACGTCGACCTGGGAACATGGACCGAGGACTTTGTCAAGGCAGATCGGGGATATTCGCCGCCCAAAAAAAGGGATGGAACAATGTAACAAACCAAAAACTGAGTTTTAATCACCCAACAAAAATGTGATTTAACCACCAAAACTTGGCATTTCATGAAACATGTTTTGATCACATATCATGGGTTTTAATTACAATATATCACCACTTATGTGGTTGGAACTCACAAAAGATCCTGGGAGATCCAGTCTTGGGTTTTCTTGCAGTTTTTTTTTGTGCAATTTGGGTTGATTCTGTTTGGTGGTCAAATCTAAAATTGGTGGTTTAAATCCTGTTTTTGGCGGTTAAATCACAATTTTTTGGATCACGTCTGAAGATTCTAAAAAAATCAATCGCAATCTGTCATAGATCTCTGTAAGGCGGACAAATCTCGAAACCTTCAGCATACTATAGCAGTATTTAACAATATGGGGATTTCCATAAATGGGGGTACCCCAAAATGGATGGTTTGGAAGCGAACATCCTATCAAAATGGATGATTTAGGGGTACCCCTAATTTCGGAAACCTCCATATCATGAGCACGGAAAAGTGTCTTCGCTACTATTTTCACACAAAATACAATACTGTAGAATTACATGTATAATTTGTGCGCATTTGCAAAGTTCTAGGAAATTGTTCGACATCAGTCTGTAGACAATCTGGTAATTTCCACAGTAGATCCGCCAGTTCTATCCTCTCTCAACGCATTGATGGTCTGTCACTAAAAAAATCACGAAACTTATCACCTTTTAGATGTGGCTTGCAGTTTTGATAGGGAAAACATCAACCTGCCAAACCTGGCTGGATTGCAATATGTCATTGTTACTTATTATCATTGCTATGTCTATGTTACTATTGATATTGATGTTGATAGTCATGGTAGTAATGTTGATATTGATATGGCATATAATAGATACATATCATATATACGTATACATACACACATATATATATATATTTGAATGCTACTGTGGATGAAAGACATCCTGAACCAGTTTTGGAAACTATTAACTATGAAAGACTGTAACTAATGGGATTATACAACTACAGTGTTTCATCCATGTTGGAATGGTAATCATAATGATAAATTGTACAAATCATACATCCATAATCACTATGTAACTAATTAGCTATAATTGATTACCAACTATTGGGATAAATCATCTACCAACTAATGGGATAAATCATCTACCAACTATTGTTGGACCTTCGTCCAAATGGCCACAGAACGAGCTCAACCTTCGCTCGTGCGAAAGGTACCTCTCCCTCAAGCGACTTCGGATGTGCTGACGATTCTGCCGCAGGGCTCAACGGTGGTCTTGCTCACAATGGCCATCAAAAATAGGTTATGAATATATACTACACATTATTTAAGTACAGATGTAACACATCATATGTAATATACGATATGTGTGCAATATGATTTCTAGTGGATAATATGTAATATATTGATGTAGGATGCATGATATACATGGTAGATGATATATAGTATACATTATATATGATAGACTTTATTCGATACAAATATATATATATATATGTGTACATATTTTGCTTTAGTATTTCATACATAGCACAATATGTAACCTATAATAAATTATAAAACATATAATGCATACCACATAATGTACAATATTTTAGATATACTGTATTGTATATTGCCTGTACTATTTAATGTGTATATAAAAGATATAATATTGATTATTCATGGTATCTGTTTAAATACACAATATTCGTTCCGTATGTATATATAATGTACAATATATTCTATTCATTATATATATATAGATATACACACATACATAGCCCGAAAAAAAGGGGTTACAACCCACAACTCTAGCCACCAACGTTTCGCTGGTTAAGTCCGAATCCTTGTTTGTCATGTCCCGATATTCATGGTTACACCTCGTTTATGATATTAACTTATTATTGATGGTTCCCCATGTTGGAACCCATGTTTGCACCATTTCTGATGGTTCAAATCATCATTTTCGGTTGGTTGGTTGGTTGGTTGGGTGGTTGGTTGGTTGGTTGGTTGGTTTGTTGGTTGGTTGGTTGGTGGGTTGGTTGGTTGGTGGGTGGGTTGGTTGGTTGGTTGGTTGGTTAAAGGACTCACAGCAGTAGCCGTGGTCCACAGGCACAACCAATTATACCAGCAGATCTCAGAAATTACGCTTTTCGATGTTTAAACTTCATTTTCGATTGTTAATTGTTAAAAATTGTTAGGTTGGCAAGATATGGTGATTTGCTTAGCTCAACATCACCATTTTGGATGGTTAAACCACCATTTTCGATGGTTAAACTACAAATTGTTGAGACCCCTGCTGTTTTTTTTCCGAACCTTATCAGGCCTCCTCCACCGGCACCACATGCTGTGCCGAGGGGAGTTGGGGTCGCCCAGGGGATACTCATGGTGCTTTGACCAAGCTGGTGATTTTTGACCAAAATTGAGGTTTATTGATCACCAGTATTAACCGTATATTAACCATATGTTAACCATATGTTAACCAGTATTGCCCAGTATTAAGTTTATTGTGTAGTAAACTAATGCAGACATGGAACACGAAGACACACAAAAACACAACATGGCTTTCCGAGGATTCCTGACTCGAAATGTTGGGTTTTCGATATGTCAATTCACTGGAGGGCAATTTTTCAGGGTAAATGAAGGGTAAATGAAGGAACGCAGTATCCAGTCATATCAAAAATGCGAATTCTTTGTGTTCCACGGTAGTTCCACGGTAGTTCCACGGCAGTTCCCTGGGATGGAACTCTTTTCTTCTCGAACGATGACTGCTCCGGTTCTCGTGGCCACTTCGGTTGTGGTCGTGGCCCTAGGAGTATCGCAAGCATCGAACCGCGATCATCTCCAAAGGCGAAGCGATCTGGGATGATGGGAAGCCATGTTGGATGATTCTATGTCTTTGATGTCTACATGTCTACTATAATGGGAATCTTTGTTTTCCGAATATTTTGATGTCTAAGATTTTTTTGGGGTTCTAGACAACGAAGTTTATCATTCAATGATGGGGAAAATGATGATAAACCATGGAATCTAGGCTACTCTTCCATGAAGGGTATGTCATTGGGGTACCTTGAAGGACCCACACCCTTGCGTAGTCCTTTCATTTGAACCATCTCTTTTGAAAAAACGCTGCTTCCCAATGGGTGATTCACAATCCCAAAACATACCAAAACAATCGCCGCTTGACATTGGAGTCTTGGGCTGATTTGGTCAGTGCATCTTTGGGTCTTACAGGTGCTGAGTACTCTGCAGCATCCCTCTAGCGAAGCAACACAAAGCATCCCTCATTTCTACCGACTCCTAGCTAATTAGTTTTCTTCTTCAAACATTTCAAACGACAGAGAGGACTGGGTCTCGGGTAAACTATTGCTATCTACTGCGGCTGACGAAAAAGCCACAATCCAAGCAGGTTCTGTGGGGCATCCTTTGAATTGTGCCGCTGCCTGCAAGTATGTGAAGCGCAAGGTGCGCAAGGTACAAGGTGTGTCAACCAAAATGGGTACCATTTAATTTAAGGTGCATGATCAAGACTAAGAAACAACCAGAAATGACGTGATTCTGCGGTTCTGTGGCCTAAATACTAGCTCACCCACTCTCCAAATCTACATTTGACACATTCATTGATGCATGGTATATTTCCTGCAAAACATTGCAACACATTATTTTTTGAGTCAATGTGGGTAACTTTAGGCTCAGGCACTGCCGTTCGCCCAAACTCTAAACTGTCCCAACTTACCCCTGGTCCCAACCTAAACCACATGTTCAATGATTTCACTGATTGAAGATCTTCAATGAGGGATCAAATCCCCCAGCCGGGCCCAGCCCCCGTTAAACCATTACACTGGTTGAAGATCTTCAATAAGAGATCCTAAATTCTTCTATGTGGATGAAAGCACGATTGCATGAAGAGGGCGAAAAAAGGCTTTGGGAAAACAAATTTTCGAAGACCTTTACAGCACTTTCAAATCGCAAAGCCTTCTTCAACCACGCGCAATAACATGTCAAAACATGTTGAGACAGAATGTACGGGAAATACCACGATTTTGGCCCTGTGTCAAGACGTGAGACATTGCATGCTGGGCAGACGGGCACTCCTGGCCGTAACTTTACCTTTGCCATATCCATATATATATATAAATAATATATATATATATATATTTATTATACATATGTTTCTATGAACTATTTGCCATCCATGTCTGCATTACTATCATTATCAGTAGCATTATGATTGGGTTTGCTATGATGTGTTATGATTAATATTTTTTACCAGTAGTACCGCGCAAGGCGGTGGCGGAAGTTTCAAAAATAGGATACCTGTAGGAGAGGTTGGTTGTTGTGAATCATGGATGGCAGAGCGAAGTGTCAGGCTATCTATCTGTCTACCGGTTTATCTGCCTATCTGCCTATCTGTCTATCTATCTATCTATCTGTCTATCTATCTATCTATGTATGTATCTATGTATCTATGTATCTATCTATCTATCTATCTACCTATCTGTCTTTCTAGCTATCTGTCTTTCTATTTACCTGTCTATCTATCTATCTGTCTGTCTGTCTGCCTGTCTGCCTGTCTGCCTGTCTGCCTGTCTGCCTGTCTGCCTGTCTGCCTGTCTGCCTGTCTGTCTGGCTGTCTGGCTGTCTGTCTGGCTGTCTGTCTGGCTGTCTGTCTGGCTGTCTGTCCGGCTGTCTGTCTGGCTGTCTGGCTGTGTGTCTGTCTGTGTGTCTGTCTGTGTGTCTGTCTGTGTGTCTGTCTGTGTGTCTGTCTGTGTGTCTGTCTGTGTGTCTGTCTGTGTGTCTGTCTGGGTGTCTGTCTGTGTGTCTGTCTGTGTGTCTGTCTGTGTGTCTGTCTGTGTGTCTGTCTGTGTGTCTGTCTGTGTGTCTGTCTGTGTGTCTGTCTGTGTGTCTGTCTGTGTGTCTGTCTGTGTGTCTGTCTGTGTGTCTGTCTGTGTGTCTGTCTGTGTCTGTCTGTCTGTCTGCCTGCCTGTCTGTCTGTCTGTCTGTCTATCTACTTTACTTCTACCTTTCTATCTATCTGTCTGTCTATTTATCTATCTGTTTGTCTATTTATCTATCTGTCTTTCTATCTGTCAATCTGCCTATCTATCTCTCTACCTATCTATCTGTCTGTTTATCTTCCTGTCTAGCTATCTATCTGTCTGTCTGTCCATCTATCTATCTACCTGCCTATCTACCTGCAAGCTTGAAAACGCAGCAATTCTTCGAGACTTCCTCAATTTTCGAAGTTGACAACATCAAAAACGAAACAATTCTGCGAAACGTCTTCAATTTTTGAACTTGACAGCGTCAAAAACGAAGCAATTCTGCGAGAATTCCTCTATTTTGCGAAGTTGACAACATCAAAAACGAAACAATTCTGCGAGACTTCCTTCAAAAATGGAAAGTTGAGTGCAGAGCTGACGGCCTCGTGCCAATGCGTTTTGCGATTTTTCCACTCCACCTGTCTAAAGTACTGCGCCTGCCAAAAAAAAGTGATGCCAGGTCATACGAAGTGCTGCACCTGCCAGGCAAAATCATCTCAGCAAACCTGAAGATCCGATGCTCCAAAATGCAACCCGTCTCAGGAAATCAGCGCCCTGACCTCCTAACATCTCTGGTGAACATGTTTCTTGTACTGCGCCTGCCACGCGAAGTGCATCTTTGCAGATCCTCTTCAAATGTCCCGCGCCTGCCAATGTTTTTGAAACTGCTACAAGACCCTCACGTTCTGCTCACTTTTGCAGGGTGCAGAATCCTTTGCGCCTGCCACACAAAACGACGCTTCAACGTCCAAAAGTGGCGCGAACAGGTTGTTTTAGCATTTTCACTTCGAAATGTGCTTCGCGCCACAGCGTCATGCACTTTTTCAACATCTCAATTTCCAAAAATGGCGCGCACATGTGGTGCTTTTAGCATTTTGACTTGGAAACGCGCTTCGCGCCACAACCGCATGCACTTTTTCAACATCTCAACTTCCAAAAGTGCTCCGGACAGGAAGTGCTTTGTACATTTTGACTTGGAAATGTGCTTCGTGCCGCAACACCGTGCACTTTTTCAACATTTCAACTTCAAAAAGCACTTTTGACTTCGAAATGTGCTTCGCGCGACAACGGCGTACACTTTTTCGACATCTCAACTGCCAAAAATGCTCGATGTGAGGTGTTTTAGTTTTTTCACTTCCCAATGTGCTTCGTGCTACAACGGCGTGCAATTTTTCATCTCTCATCCCGCCAGATGGCTCCGCACCCGCGGCTTTAGCAAGCCAACTTTTCGACCCTCCGGAGCCACAAATCGTTGAAAAAACAGAGTGTTTTGCGACTTTTCTACTTTTTCGCGCGCCTGCAACTTCTTTCTTCTGACTCTTTCTTCTGACTCTTTCTCTTCTCTGATCTTCTCTGATCTTCTCTGATCGTCTTTCTTCTTTTCTCTTCTATTCTCTTTTTTTCTCTTCTCTTCTTTTCTCTTCTCTTCTTTTCTCTGATTCTTCCCACCTCTGCTGTTCATCTGTCCATATGGTCGGAAGTTTGACTTCTAAACTTCCTTCGGTCATTATATATATACATATTTACCTACGCGTTTGGGATCTCATATGGTGTTTTAGAAGTTGATTTTATTTGGCTAAACGACACTTTTTTTCCTTTATTCGCTCTCAGTATATCGTAGTATTTTACAGAGAGAGAGATATATATATACATAATAGATGATTTATTGTATCATGGTTTCACACCGTCACTCCGCTGGATCTTTTCTACAGGGAGGCTGCCGCGATGGTGCGGACTGCCCTAATTGCCTGGGACCACAGAGGGGAAATGCAATGCCATAAACCTACCAGGGGCTGGTAAACATACCGCCCGTAAAGCCATGGTGATGACTTGGGGGTGGTTTATTTGGTGAATCCCACATTATCCTTCTGGTTTCTTTATGTCCCAAAATAGATTGAAAAACAACTGTGGGAATGACTCTAATTCCTTCCCCCGATTAAATCAAACACCCCTCAGAAACCATGTTGGATTAAGGGAATGGGATGAGTTGTTTAAGTATGAACAGGCGAGGAGATTAATTCACAGGGTTTACCATGGTTTGGGTTTTTTGGAATTTTCGGGGAACCTCCCCAATCCCCTGGATTAGAAAATGATTTTCCTGATTAGCAGATTACCATTTGGGTTTACCCCCCAGATAATCTAGGCAACGTTCTACAAACATCAATTCAGTGAGAATGGCAACCAACCAAAACCAAGATATTCGGATACAACCCATAGAAACCGGGACTTGAGGGGGAACCATATGGGTAAATCATCTACAGATAGGCCATGGCTTCCATAGCTATGTAAAATTACCATGGAATAATATGATACCATGAAACGAAATCAAGTGAACAGAATGTGCGGCGTTGTAGTCTTCCATCGCACCTTCTGGACCCAATCAACTTGGATTGTAAATTCCTCAGAAATAAGAAGGGACTTTCACAGCATTTGTAGACGTGCGATTTTTTGAAACCTTTTCGAATGCGACAATATTGTAGTCACTGTAGTTCAACTCAATTTTGTACTTTCACACCCATCGAGGACACTTACGCCCCATCACAGCCTCAAAGTGTCACCGCTTGATGACTTGGTGAAGTTTCGGAATTTCTGAAGTTTCGCCGGCAACATCAAAGCTGGCAAACCGGCGTATCCTGTCTTAGAGCATCTTAAAACCTGCCAGAAACACTCTTGGAATTTCCATTTCCTAAGAGTTTGACCCTGAGAATCGCTAATGTTTTTTTTGGTTGGAAAGAACACGAAAGAATTAATGTAGCCATGTACCTATGGAAAATCTATGAAAAATCCACTATGAACATGAATTTTCCATATCTTTTTGACTGGAGAGTAACCCCCAAGTCATGGCGCAGATTTGTTCATGGGCCCTTGCTCAGGTCACGAGTGCTTCTGGTCCAAAGCTACCGCGAAGGAGTCCGCCGAGAGGCAACCGGCCCGGTTCAGTTGTTGCTCCCTAAAAACAGCATAGACGTTTTTTTTTTTGCGGGTGAACGACTTTCTTCAAGACTAAAAGTCGAAGTCTTTGAGCTTGGAAAAACTTGAATAGTCGAATTATTTGTTGATAATTTTGATAGTTCTGCATTCATCCATTGTATTGTTTTGTTTGAGTTAACAGAATCGATGATTGCGTGTGACTCAATCGCGCCGGCTCAGGAAGGAAGCGACCCCATCAGCTCCTGGTAGCCAGGTGGGGTCAAGTTCATGGCTGGTAGCCAGGTGAACCAAAAAGATCAGTTGAAACACTTGAAACAGTTGAAACCACCATTTATTCACATTTTGCAACCGTTTTTCTATGGTTTTGCGGCCCTTTAAAAACTTGGAAGTTCGGACATGGCTCGTTCTGTAAGATCTAACTTGAACACCCTCCGATGGCAAGTGCCCTGGAGCCATACACATCGAGGGACCTTCAGATAGACTGTACATAACCCGGTGTGAGAAGATCTAAGTTTTCTGCCTTGTGAACGGGCTCAAGAAATCATCCTCTTGTGAACATCTGTTTGTGTATGATTTTATGTATTGCTACCCGCTTGATACACAAGCAACGACAGTCAGATGCAGAAATATCTCGGACGTTCTCCCACTCTGCATTCTTGTCGGCTAGCTTCACATCCCTTCTCATTGGAGGAAAATTTGGAGGAAACCCCTATATTAGCGTATATTTGATGGTAAAGAAAACCGGACGACCACCGGGTCACGCTGTCGAACAGTTCAGGAAGATCTTGTTGAGAAGGTGGTGCGTCTCTTGCAAGAAGAATCTCACCAGGTTCCCTGGGCGAGATGGGCGAGTTGGAAACAGAGATGGATTTTTGGATGGACAGATAGATGGACAAACGGACAGAATTAGCTGGAAATAGATGGACAAGTGGGTTTTTCAAGTATTAGTTGGAGCCCAAAAATGCCGAGAAAGGTGTTTCCAGGATGTTCTAGTACTGTTATAGATGATATTTATTTCTATATAAAATATTTCCAGGTTTTCCCCTTGTCCATCTATTTTTGGGTCGCTATAATCCCTTTCCCTGTTCATATTAAACACTGACCATAAACCATGGTGGATGTAGGGGCAACCAACTAGGCTCAGGATCAAGTCCTGCTGGCACCGAGTGATTTGAGCATGTCAAAGGATATGCGGGATCCGTGGCAGGCAAACATTTGGCGTGCAGAGAACATATGATATCATATACAATAATGATATACATATTAATAAGATATTATGTATATGTATGTATGCATATATATATATATATGCATATATATATATATATGTACATAGTATAAACATATCATGCACATATCTATATGATTCTATATGTATACCGTATATGTCTCATACACTTCCTAGACACTGGACACACATAGGACGTGGGATCCCATGGATTCCCATGAAAAATGTCCCGGCTCAGTAGGGGATTCCCCGGCAGACCCCATGTTGCTGTTGTTTTTATAAAAATGGTGATAAAAATGGGTATACCTGGTTTTAATAATACCTGATTAATATTAAACATGGTGATTAATAATGGTAATAACTGTTGCTGTTGTATCATTATGGAGGTTTTCTAAAATGGGGCTACCCCAGTCGTCACCATGGCAAACAGGTACCCCCGAAAATGGCTCAGGTGCAATCGGCTTCCGGATGGCCTCAACAAACCACATTTGAGCGATTTTTGTTGATACCCGGCCTGGTAAACTAACAGTTTGCTATTGAACATTGCCATAGAAACAGTGGATTTTCCCATGAAAAATGGTGATTTTCCATAGTTACGTTAGTTTACCAGAGGCTATTTTTTCATCGAAAAATAGGGATTCAAAAACGCGCACATCGGGATTTCAAGACAGATGGATTTGTTTACGGCAGAAAGTCATCATTGAAATTTGGGCCATGTCCATATGGGTCACTACTCGAGCCAGTTTATGGCCAGCAAATTAGATATTTTTAACATCCCAGATGACGGAAAGCGCTGGAACAGCGCAAGGAGTTGATGTAGCTTTGCCCTAGGGGGGGGGTGTGGGGGGGGCATGGAGCGTGTGCAAACCCAATTTTTGATTTACAGAACAGGAGGGTGCAGTTTTGGCTCCGTGGGCCTCATTTTTGCCCATGTTGCGCGCTTCTGGGATGTTGGGCCAGCGTTGGCACCATATTGGGCTCATGTTGAGCACTTTTAGGGGTATTGTGTGGTTTGTGTTGGCCTTTGTTGGGCAAGAGTTGGGACCATATTGGGCTTATCTTGGGCCATTTTGGGCTATGTTGGGACATTTGGGCCATGTTGGCACCATATTGGGCTCATGTTGGGCCATTTTGGGCTATTTTCGGATCTGTGTGTCGGCCTTTGTTTTGGACTTGGGCATTTCAATGTCGTTAAATTTTCGTCCATACCCGGCGTTTGCAAAAAACACCAAAAATACCAGGAACAAATACAATTTGTGGACTGCGTTGCTGATGGTTTTTGCTGCTATTTTTCGTTTGTTTTTGTTTCTTTCTTGGGGCATGCTGCAGTTAGGCTATGTTTGCCTGATCTCGGGCTTATGTTGGGCCATTGTGGGCTATGTCGGCACCATATTATAGGCTCATGTTGGGCCATTTTGGTGTATTCTGTGGTTTGCGTTTGCCTTTGTTGAGCCATTTTAGGGGTATTTTGTGGTTTGGGTCGGCCTTTGTTGGGCAAGAGTTGGGACCATATTAGGCTTATCTTGGGCCATTTTGGGCTATGTTGGGACATTTTGGGCCATGTTGGCACCATATTGGGCTCATGCTGGGCCATTTTGGGCTATTTTCGGATCTGTGTCGGCCTTTGTTTTGGACTTGGGCATTTCAATGTCGTTAAATTTTCGTCCATACCCGGCGTTTGCAAAAATCACCAAAAATACCAGGAAAAAATGCAATTTGTGGACTGCGTTGCTGATGGTTTTTGCTGCTATTTTTCGTTTGTTTTTGTTTCTTTCTTGGGGCATGCAGTTAGGCTATGTTTGCCTGATCGGCCATAGTGGGCTATGTCGGCACCATATTGGGCTCATGTTGGGCCATTCTGGTGTATTCCGTGGTTTTTTGCCATTGTTGGGTAAGAGTTGGGACCATATTGGGCTTATCTTGCACCATTTGGGGCTATGTTGGGCCATTGTGGGCTATGTCGGCACCATATTGGATATATTGGGCTCATGTTGAGCCATTTTGGTGTATTTTGTGGTTTGTGTTGGCCTTTGTTGGGCAAGAGTTTTTGGCCATGTTGGGACATTTTGGGCCACGTTGGCACCATATTTGGCTTATGTTGAGCCATTTTAGTGGTATTTTGTGGTTTGTGGTGGCCCTTGTTGGGCAAGAGTTGGGACCATATTGGGCTTATCTTGGGCCATTTTTGGCTATGTTGGGACATTTTTGGCAACGTCGGCACCGTATAGCGCTTATCTTGAGCCATTTTGGGCCGCGTTGGAGCAAGGACGCCCGGCAAACATGGCAGGAGGTCAGCCAGCACAGCAGCAGCCAGCGCAGCAAGGACACCCGCCGGGCATGGCAGAGCAGCAGGGACACACTTTGGCACAGCAGCAAGGCCACAAATTGAGACACCCATCATGGTGCAGGTCAGCCAGCACAGCAGCAAACAAACATGGCAGGAGGTGAGCCGGCACAGCAGACACAGCAAGGACACCAACCTGCAGGTGCAACTCAGCCATGACAGCAAGGACCCAATTTGGGACACCTGGGACAGCAGCAGCCAGTGCAGCAAGGACACCCACCGAACACAGCTGCATTCGCAACGTTGCAGCAAGGACTTATTTTGAGACAACCGCCCAAACACGGCGGCAGGCCAGCCAGTGCAGCAAGGACTGGCGTGGGAGAGCAGCCAGTGCAGCAAGCGGGGTCAAACACAGGGGCAGGCCAGCCAGCACAGCAGCATATGACGAAGAACATGGGATGCCCACCAGGCATGTCACCACAGCAGCAGCAACCTGCACCTTACTCTTTACTGGCCTGGGTTCCTCTCTCCCTGCGGATTCACAAACACATTGCAATACCAATAGCCCGACAAACATGGGTGGGGGTGTGAATACAGCAAATGGCAAAGGCAGGTGGAATTAAGCATTCCCCAGCAGATGATTCCACCCCGAAGTTTAGCGGGGTTCCCCCACACCCCCCAGCAGACCAGCACCATGGCATGGTGAATCAGAACGAGCAGTGGTATAGCCCACCAGAGCCACGTCCCGCAGAACCTCACACACCTGCCCGGGCAACTTGGATTTATAATATTTTATAATCATATATGTATTTTTTTTGTTCCCCATCTTTGTGTGGGGTTCTTGTTTTTGATTCTGTATCCCGCCTCCGCCTCCTCCTCCGCCACGCCCCCTTTCATTCACACGCAACTTTGTCACACACCATCTTTCACCACACCATCTTTCACACACAACCTTGCACACCACCTTTCACACACCATCTTTGCGGTACTTGCACACCATCTTGTCGACAGCGGTACTTTGCGTGGCAGGCGTGGCAATTGGTGACATCCACCTTCGCTTCGCATGGCAGGCGTGGCACTTGGTGACATCCACCTTCGTTTTGCGTGGCAGGCATGGCACTTATGGCACTGGGCTAGCTCTGGTGGCGCGCTTGGGCGCGCTTGGGTGCGCTTCGGTGCGCTTGGGTGCGCTTGGGCGCGCTTGGGCGCGCTTGGTCGCCGGTGATGCCGCCGTACTTTGCGTGGCAGGCGTGGCACTTGGTGACATCCACCTTCGCTTCGCGTGGCAGGCGTGGCACTTGCCACTTATGGCACTGGGCTGGCTCTGGTGTCGCGCTTGTCCACGCTTGGGCGCGCTTGGGCACGCTTGGTCGCCGGTGACGCCGCGCTACTTTGTGTGGCAGGCCGCATGGCACTTGGTGACATCCACCTTCGCTTCGCGTGGCAGGCGTGGCACTTGGTGACATCCACCTTCGTTTTGCGTGGCAGGCGTGGCACTTACCTAGGTATGGCACTGGACTGGCTCTGGCGGCGCGCTTGGGCGCGTTTGGGCGCGCTTGGTCGCCGGTGACGCCGCGGTACTTTTACGTGGCAGGCGTGGCACTTGGTGACATCCACCTCCGCTTCGCATGGCAGGTATGTCACTTGGTGACATCCACCTTCGTTTTGCGTGGCAGGCGTGGCACTTATGGCACTGGGCTGGCTCTGGTGTCGCGTTTGTCCACGCTTGGGCGTGCTTGGGCACGCTTGGTCGCCGGTGACGCCACGGGACTTTGTGTGGCAGGCCGCATGTTACTTGGTGACATCCACCTTCGCTTCGTGTGGCAGGCGTGGCACTTGGTGACATCCACCTTCGTTTTGCGTGGCAGGCGTGGCACTTATATGCACTTATGGCACTGGGTTGGCTCTGGTGGCGCGCTTGGGCGCGCTTGGGCACGCTTGGGCGCGCTTGGTCGCCGGTGACGCGGCGGTACTTTGCGTGGCAGGCGTGGCACATCCACCTTCGCTTCGCGTGGCAGGCGTGCCACTTATGGCACTGGGCTGGCTCTGGTGGCGCGCTTGGGTGCGCTGAGTCCCCCGGGGCGCCGCGCCGCTTGGCATGGCAGGCGTGGCACTTGGTGACATCTGCCTTTGTTTTGCGTGGCAGGTGTGGCACTTGTGGCACTGGGCTGGCAGTGTGGCGTTTCATCACACACCATCTTTGACTTTGACACACCATCTTTCACACACAACTTTGTCACACACCATCTTTGACACACCACTTTGTCACACACCCTCTTTCACACACCATCTTTCACACACCACTTTGTCACACACAATCTTTCACACACACCATCTTTGACACGCCATCTTTGACACACCATCTTTCATATCACTTTGTCACACACCATCTTTCACACACCGTCACAGACCATCTTTCACACACACCATCTTTCACACACCACTTTGTCACACACCATCTTTCACCACACCATCTTTCACACACAACTTTGTCATACACCATCTTTCGCCACACCATCTTTCACACACCACTTTGTCACACACCATCTTTCACACACAACTTTGTCACACACATCATTTTTCTTTGTCACGCACCATCTTTCACATACAACTTTGTCACACACACACACAACTTTTTTTACGTCTCGATCCTCCACCACCTCCTTTGTCTTTCCTTCCTTCCCCGTCCCGCTACAACATTTGTTGCTCATTATTGGAAGAAGTTGGCTTGTGGGGTTATCCGGTCCTTTAATTTGTGTGTGTGCGTTTGTTTCTTTCTTTCTTTCTTTCTTTGTTCGTTGTTGTTTTGATGGCACCGTGCTGGGCTCATGTTGAACCATGTTGAGCGATTTTGGGCTATTTTCGGGTATTTGTTGATTCTGTTGGCCTTTATCTTGGACTTGGGTATTTTGGTGTTGTTGCGGTTTGGTCTTGTTGGGCTTTTATTTTGGAGTTGGGCATTTCAGTGTTGTTGGGTTTTGGTCTTGTTAGTCTTTATTTTGGACTTGGGCATTTCAGTGTTGTTGAGCTTTGGTCTTGTTGGCCTCTATTTTGGACTTGGGCATTTCAGTGTCGTTGAGTTTTGGTGTATTCAAGTCGTTTTCCAAAAAAATGTAAATACCAAGCAAAACGCAATTTTTGGGTTGCGTTGCTGCTGTTTTTGATGCTATTTGTTGTTCCTTGTTTTCCCTTTTTCTTCGGGCATGTTGCACTTGGGCTATGCTGGCTTTGTCTCAAGCTCATGTTGAGAAAAATCGAGCCATGTTGGGTTGTTGCTGCGTCCTTTTCAGCCCATGTTGGGCCAATGTGGAGCCACCTTGGTCTATGTTGGGACCGTGTTGGGTCATGTTGTTAGCTATATTGGGCCGATGTTGTGTTGAGCCTATGTGGACGCATGTTGCACTAATATGGAGCCATGTTGGCCCATGTTGGGCAGATGTTGAGTCATGTGGGGAAACGTTGGGACCATATTTGATATTGGGCTTATCTTGAGCCATTTTGGGCTAATATTGGGCTCATGTTGAGCCATGTTGGGCTACGTGCTGGCCTTTATCTTGTTTCGGTGTCGTTGAGTTTTGGGTCCATGCAAGGCGTTTGCAACAAATACAGTATATAAACAAAAAGAAAAGCAACATGTTTTGGCTGTGTTGCTGATGTTTTTGATGCTATGTTTAACTATGTTTGCAAGGTATTTTTCTGGTGTTGCGGTGGCATTTGAAGGGTACTTTTGGTGGTGTATGGGCGGTCTCTTGCTGGTGTGGTGGCATGGCATGTTGTGAGCTCTCATAATACTAGTCGATATTTCAATGGTGTGTTGCATCTGCCCGCGCAGACACAATACACATCAATCCGCAATATCAAACAATCCTGCACACTTGTGGCCCATGACATCTCCAGCGCTTTTCCTGTCCTGGCCGGCATGACCTAGACAAGGAACAATCGGCTTCCGTCGCGTGTGATAAAGTAAACAAGTGCAAAATCTCATCCGAAAAAACGGGAGTGACAGCCAAAACGATTGTGCATTTTCCAGGGAAAGCGTGATTTTTCCTGCGCGTTTTCTATTTGACTGAATGGTTGAAGATTTTATGCGAATGCTTCCGCATCTTCTAGCAGCCGGCAAGCCAAAGTGCAAGTTACATCTATATAGAGGGATCTAAGTATAGGGTATAGGGCATGCTCGGCATGCTCCATCTCTTCTTTAAGTTTTGTTGTCTTGGCGCTGCTTCACTTGCTTAACGCTGATATTTGGGTAATGTATGGTCATGTTTTGTTGGTGTCTTTCGGATCTAGATTCCTTTTCTAGTTTGAGAAACTCACTGAAAAGTTTTTGTATAGGATTCATGATGTTGGTGTCGGGATTTGTCTGACCGTATATATATATACATATATATATGAATATATTTTGCACCTACATGTATTATTTGACAGCTGAACCGTGGTAGTCTGCTACCCGGGATATTTTGATATATTTGAATGCTTTCCGTCGTTTGCCGCGCTGGTTTACAGATCGTTTTCCAGCTCCCTGGGTAAACCCATATCGATGTGAACTTAGTAGTAAAAAATCGCCACATTCGCCACAAAAAAAATCTCCATTTTTGGAGGCAAGTCCCCAGGTCATGTCATGGCGATGCATCCCAGTGGGTCCCAGTTGTTCGATGGTTCGATGTGGTGAGATCTCATGCCCCGGAGGCGCCTGAGATCAATTTCTTGGGAGACTATGGGTGACCTGGATGCAGATCGCGAGGGAGGGTATCCTGGGTCGTTGTGCGATGCTGGGATCAGACATGAATACGTCATCGTCATTGTCGCCATCGGTCTTCATCCATCTTCATCCATCATCATCCATCTTCACCCATCATCATCCATATTCATCCATTCTTTCATCTTCATCCATCGTCCTCCATCTTCATCCATCATCATCTACTATCATCCATCTTCATCCATCATTATCCATCTTCATCCATCGTCCTCCATATTCATCCATCTTCATCCTTCTTCATCCATCATCATCGATCATCATCCATCTTCATCATCCATCATCATCATCATCATCATCATCATCATCATCATCCTTCACCATCCATTTTCATCCATCTTCATCCATCTCCATCCATCTTCAGCCATATTCATTCATCATCATCCATCATCATCTACTATCATCCATCTTCATCATCCATCTTCATCATCCATCTTCATCATCCATCTTCATCATCCATCTTCATCATCCGTCTTCATCATCCATCTTCATCATCTTCATCATCTTCATCATCTTCATCATCCATCATCATCCATCATCCATCATCATCATCATGATCATCATGAACATCACGATCATCATGATCATCATGATCATCATGATCGTTATCATCATCGTGATCATCCTGATTGATTATAACTGAGTAGAACCAATTGTAACATATTGTAACCAATTATTATCTGTCATCTATCATCACCATTCTTTATTATCTTACATCCTCCATCATCAGCGATTGACATCCATTTCCCTTATTGGCCACTACAATCCGTCACAATCCTTGATCGTCCATCTCCGTCCCCGGGTTTCTTCATCTCCTTCTTTATCATCGTCTTCTACAGTTCTTCCTCGCCACCATCGTGCCCTGATCCTGTTCGCCTGTTCCAGATAATTTTCCTTTTCTCCATCTTCGTCTTCTTCTCCTCCTCCTTCATTCTCCATTCTCACCTTTTGCCACATCGCTTGCTACAACCTGAGCTTTCAGGACAGCCAAGCGGTAGCCAAAGGGCTGCAACAATGCTGCAACCACACATGTAGACTCTAACGAAATTTCACGAGCTTGTGCCTATGACCAGGGCCACGAGTGCACCTTTTAAAGCCATCTTAGAGTTCGGTGAAGGTTCACACCCCAGAGATCCCCCGTCGACCGTTGGACCATGGCTGGACACCGACATCTGTCCCGTTGCGAGGCCGGGCTTTGTGGACTACCTTGGCGTTCAAATCCCACGTGCGCATGGGGAAACCACGAAGTTCAACAAAAGGTGCAATCATAAAGAAGTGTAATGAGAAATATGACTTAATAAAAAAACTTATAACACACATATGTATATATGTATATGTATATATATATATATGTGTTGTAGAAATACTGTACTTCTTATAAGTATCTATAAGTCTCTTACCTCAATGTTATAAGAACATATGTCATACGAACACCCCGAGTTTCGTGTGGGCAAAAGATAGCCTCGGTTTAAACCGAGAGAACCACAGGTATTACGGATACTACGGAGAGACTCGTCGCAGGCACGTTGGGCACGGGCCTTCGGCCCTGGGTCAGTGATATTTGCAGGTACACTATGCTATGTCACTTTGCACGGTTCCCACATGTTCCAAATATTCGGATTTTGCCGAACAACTTGTAGATTCATGGCAACATGGGGTCATACAATAGGCATCTAATTAGAGAAGTCAATCGGATCAAATAAGTTGAGATGAGTTTTTCTATCTCCTTGGGGAACCCTTTAACCAGTAGAAGGTTTGAGGAAACACATCGGTCTGTCTGAACATATTACATCCCAAGAATCACTGGTTCGTAATCATTTTTCTGTATGGAAACAGCATGACATAGTTTTTCTTGTTAAGACACCTGCTTGGTGTTGCTGAGGTGGCATACCTCACGAACCCATGCCGCTCGGGTCGTCATGGTGGGTGCTGGGGCGGCTTTTGTTCACCGTTTTCATGCTTGTGCCCGCGAAACGGAGGGAGAGGGTCTTCGGAGGTCAAACCTCAGGATTGGGAAACTTAAAAAGTATCGCTAGAGTTTCGAATTTCAATCCGCGCCGAAAACGAAATCCTTTTCTCTGCATGCTGGCGCTGCCTTTTTTTGAATGGTCATATATGACAGGCACTCTGATACTTTCAGGCATTCATGACCAACAATCGCAGAGCCAGTTTCAGTTGCTCCAGCTTGTGGGTGGACATGTGCGGGAGAAGAGATAAACCTTCCGATCTTTGGTAGATTATTTTTTTTGGGGTCCACTTTAAAGTTTTTTCCCTAAAGGACTGAAAACACTGCAAAGATTCTCCCAATGTGGAATGGTTTGATGGACTTGAACCCTTCTTGGTTTCACATAATATATACATATATACATATATTTAGTTTTTCCACCATATTATATGTATAATTTTTTTGGTATGATGACTCCAAATGGCCAATATTTTTCAGCTGGGTTGAAACTACCAACCAGAATGGTTTAGTCACATTCAATCCTATTAAATCCCATCAATTCCCATATATATATATACATATGGTAGTCGATCTAAAGGTCCTTGTAAGGAGTTTTAATTGCGAAAGCCGTGCATGTTATGTTGGAAACCCTCGCGAAAGTTTTTTTCGAGTTCGCGAAAGTAACATTTTTTTCGCAAAAGTTTCGGGAAAGTTGGATATCATGATTGCCTAACATAGGTTCCACGAAAGATAAACATGGAGTTCGCGAAAGTTTCGCAAAAGTAACAATTTTATTCGCAAAGAATGGCCGTTCCCGGATAAAGGAATTTTGATCAACAACCATATATGATACGTATTGATATAAAACACAACCCCTGATTTCCTGTGAATTACATCAAAAAGCCAAGCCAAAGAAACTTCTGCGAGGCCGTGCAATCCCGGGTCGATGGGCCATCCGTACAGCCGGGGCGCTCGGAGACGACGATCATGACTCAAGACCCCCCCATGACTGGAGTTTTTTTTTTTGTAGAGTTTCCCTTAAACCCATCCGATGACATAGACAAAATATGTGAGGGCAATTTATTCTGTAAAAATCCACCTTGGAAATTTTGGGATATGTTGAGAATTGAGTTTGTAAGCCAAATGCAACAGAGTTTTCATGGTTTTCATGAGCCCACGTCCTAAACTTCCAGATCCGTTGTCAAGTTATCTGGTAAACTAACATAGCTCTGGAAGCCATGGAAGCCATGGAAGCCATGGCCCATTAGATGTACCCAGAAATAATGACCCTTTTGTTTGAAGGATTTGATCGTCTTTGATCATATTTGATCCATGAGAATCCATTCTCGATGGTTTTTCCAGGATTGGGGGAACCTCATCCAACAAAACACATAAGTAAACCATAGCAAACCATGGTAAACCCACATACACCAACTTGGGGGTTGTTGAACATTGGGTACCATTCGCTACTGCCGTTGAGGCTGCGGCCCTGCATGTAAATACGCCCGCGCGCCCGGAAAATCCGAATGGAATCGGTGGGTGTTCCAGCAACCAAACAGGAACTAAAGATGTGATAAAATGTGAAGATAGTGAACCAGCATTGTTTGAAGCACCTGGGATTTTGAATGAAATATTTTTTTTCTGCGAATCTCGGTACACAACGTGAGGATAGAATCCAAAGAGACAGGATTAGATAGGCATTTCCCAATATTTCCTCAATAAATACCCAACGAAGGTCATGAAATCGCTTTCACAACCAAAATTCCGGGACTGAGGTGCTGAAGCAGAAAGGATGTAAAGATGGTGACCTTTGTTCACACTGCCACATTTGTCGATGGACTCGCTACGCAGCAAAGCACCAGTTGAAGCTTTGAGGCGGAGCCATGGCATGGAATCCCTGAAATGTTCACAGCCGGGGTGGACGTTCAAATTTTATGTTTTTTCGTTTTGATCCATCCCAATCATTCCCAATCCCCATATGCTATGCTTAGAATTTGGAAAGTCTGTGAAGCTGTTTATGAATGGAACTTGTTGGTGAGATTCCTCTGTGCACAGCAAAAGGCGTAATCGACTCAGGCGATCATAGGAAGTGATCGGGCTTGGGCACCATGGTGAAGTTAAAATCGAAGAGTTCAAAAGTGAGAATGAATGGGACATACAAACAACAATATTTGGAGATATGATAATCATATTGATTTACTGGGTTTACCCGGTAAGGTACGAAGGTACGAAAAAATGCTGCTGGCGTTTGGGAATCCCTGAACTAGCCATGGAGGTCTCGTTCGCTGGGAGATCATCTACAAACGGGAGATTTTCCAGCAAACCATGGAGCTGATTGCTGAAGGGTTGAGGATTTTGTTTAGATCTGGAACATTCCCCTGGCGAATCATGGGGTTTGGGATGGTTGACTGCACAGCGGTCTAGGCTTCATGATTCCTGGGGTATTTTGAGCTAGGATGAGCCAGGTTTTGGCAAAAAGCTGGTGGTTTGAAATCAATTTGATTGCAATTGACTTTCATATTTATATAATTCAAATATGTCGATGGATTGAACACACAAGGTTTGGCGTGTCGGGCCGGTTTTTATCAGTTCTCGGTCTTTTCGGTACTTCGGGACGAAGTTGTTTGCCACAGGTGGGCGCCTCGGACCGGAGGGCGAGCATGTCGAGCGTGAGTCCAGTGTGAAACACGCACAGCGTAGGGCACAGCGTAGCTGTGGCTATGATCTGGTTATGACTAACAGTTCGCCATGGAAAATCCACCCATTTCTAATAGGTAAACCATTTATTTCTATGGGCCATCTATACCATGGCGAACTGTTAGTCATAACCAGAGGCTGTTTTAAGTTGGGCGACTTTGAGGCACAGTGGTCTCCAGCTCCGTATCGCTGTCGCCGCAGATCTCATCCCCAGTTGTAGTCGCCACATTTGTTGGTCAAACCTATGGATCCTATGGCTTTATGATTGGGGACGCCCCATTCCCATGGATGAGTCATCATTTTTTCGGAGATAGTGGCATAGCTATTTGGAGGTTTCCTAAAAAAGGGCAAGGGGTACCCCAAGTCACCATGGGTTTCAATACTCAGCCATGGTCTCATTTAGGATGATTTGAGGGTACCCCAAATTTGAAGAAACCTCTATTTGGGGGCTATAACATGTCCTAGTTGTTGAATGGCTATGGCTATAACTACAACATGAGGCAAGTTGTCTTCGACTAAGCGGTGGGAGACCACGGTGTTGAGTGTTGGCTGCTTGCCATCCTCATCATACCTCCTTCTCTCTTGACAGGCAAATCAGCGAGTCTGCATCTTGTCAATTTCGGCACACAACAATACTACTGTATGGGTGTATGATGTATACCCATTTATGGCCATATACCCGTTTATGGCCGTTTGAGTATGGAACATAGTGATTGATCATCAAATTCTTGGGGAACCCTAGCCCTAAATTTTCAGACAAACCGTGGCAAACCCGTAGTCTCCGAGGCAACAGATGACATAAACGACCACAAGGCATTTCTAAGGTTCCCGAATGAGGCATGTTGTTTGAGGTGGTCGGCAAGTTGATGGCATCCATTTTTTGAAACCTTTTGACATCAAAAACAAACAACCCAACAAACGCACGGAAAGAAATCAGAGAGAGCCACGTTTTCACAGGAGAGCCAAGCGTTCAGCATTCACATATATTTCAGCCAGGCCCACAGTCGAGATCAAACAACCAAAGTCCGAGGTTGCTCCGGTCGGGCCGATCCATTTCCGAAAAAAATCATCAAATTCGGATTGAGCGACCGAAGTCTTCTTGAAGTGATGATATTCTATTTTCCAAGCATTTTTCCCATTGGTTCAGACATAAAATCGGGAGTGAGCTGAAATTGGCCAGCAGCACCGAAGCCTTGGTACGAAATCGTTGACTTGTCGTGGATTCTTCGGCGACCTCTGCACATGGCGAGCCTCTGCAAGTGTGCCCAGGCCACGACGGCCACCTGACCCGGCCACATGACCCACCCGACGGCCACGCCGAGCGCAGAGCGGCATGGAACAGTGCCTGTGGATGATGCGAAGAACATAGAGATCATGACCATTCAATCCATCAATGGCTGAGTATCATAGATGACCATTCAATCCATCAATGGCTGAGCATCATAGATGACCATTCAATCCACATAGATGACCATTCAATCCATCAATGGCTGAGTATCATAGATGACCATTCAATCCACATAGATGACCATTCAATCCATCAATGGCTGAGTATCATAGATGACCATCCAATCCATCAATGG